GCTATCTACTAATCTCAAACCGCTAAATAAAAATTTTACCAAACACTTTATTTGTAATGGTTTCAAAATATATAAATTTACCAAACACTTATATTTAGCGATTTAAGTAAAACTTCTAACCGCTACCTCAAAACCGCTATACCTAACGGGCCCTAAAACTAGTAAAGCAAAGAACAGAACTTACAAGACTAGAGTCATGACAGCTGCCTCACAAGTTATGGGGCAAGAAATGAGCATGCAAGTGGATCCAAGCCATTATAAGAAAAGCTTCCTTGAGGGATAAATCATATGGAACTTTGACTTATTATTAAAATCCAAATATCCTTTCCTCAATTGAATTTGACAAACATAACATTTCAAACCTCCAAAGTAATATGAATACAGCTCCATTCATTAGTAAGAAACCTCCTGTCGTAATTTCAAGTTTCTTTGGTAGCATATAAAAGCAATCATCATTCAGTTATTCAGTTTACATTTAAGATTGTGCATAATTTTAAGTATATAGGCAGTAATTTGTTTTAGTGAGGCCAGAATAAAACCACTAATCAATTAGGCCAGACAATGTTAGATCCAGAAATATAATGAATCTAATCATTTTAAGCCCAAACCTAACCTCATAAAGAAAAGAATATCTCCAACAACTAAACATTAATTTAAACAGTATCATCTGTAATCCTTCTTCTTAGAGTTGAAATCAAACAGGATATGCTTAATTTCAGCAATTACAGCTAAAGAAAATGACAAACTAATATTCATGATCTGGTAAATTCACTTACTCTTCCCCTACATCTTTAAGATCTCTAACGAGCCCTAAAATCATTTAAACTTGAGATGTTACACTTATAGATAAAATGAAGGATGAAAGGACATACTCCTATAAACAGAAAACTCGTTTTTATCAACATCATTTATCATAATAAAAATTATTCTACGTCGAAACTTCAAATAAGTTAGAACACAGTCAAAAATCAAAATATCAGCTCTAAATGAACTTAAAATAGGGTAAGACACCGCAATTTATTGCAATCCACTTTCACATCAGAAGCTCAAATAGTTTTAAGTCTCTTAAATTATAATCAAATAGCCTAAATAGGAAGGAAATGAAAAGTAATCAATTCCCCTAATGTCAAAGTCTTCATTGTTCACCACGTAATATAACTAGACCTACATTTTCTCTGCTGAATATGACATTCATCTTAACTAACAAAAAAATTTAAAAATTTTAAAAAATTAAAAAAAAGGAAAAAAAAAAAAGAAAAAAAAAGAAAAGAAATGATAGATATCCAAATTCGAACTTAAAAACACTACTAGTAAGACTATAGATTCTCCCAACCAAAGAATCATACATATAGGCACAGACGGGACAATACAGAATGCCATGAAACATAAATGCTAATGCCTAATGGCTGATCAAATCAGACACCTAATCAAAGCACACTTCATCATAGTTAGAAAAACGATACTATCAATCAAACATGAAGAAATATATGGATATTTAAGAAACTAAAGGCTTGTTAAAACGATAACGCAATGCACCTCGAAGTCGCTTCTCTGGGCTCCGGGAACTTCAAGAGCTTCGACATCAAAGGAGTCTATGTGCGGCCCAGTACGAATCAAGCGCTGCTCCACATTATCGTCGTCCTCAGAGTCTAATCCAGCACGCTGGGCTGCATCTTCGTCGTCTTCATCGTCTTCGATCTCGGACTCCTCGTCGTCCTGGAAGACCCAGCGTGATTCCAAGGAGTCCATCGACGCCAATCCAACTCCGTTGATCTCTCCGCCTCTATCTGACGATGATCCTCCACCACTGCCTCCACTGATCTCCTCCGCCATTTTGAATCTCACGTAAATACCAGTTTTCAAGGAGTCTGAGAAATGGAAACGGAGATATTCAGTTGATTGCGGATTCAGGAAGTGAATTGATGATATTAGGGTTTGTCATTCCAAGGATATTGCAGATCACGCGATGAATTGAAAGAGATTGAGATTTAAGAGGATCTCAGCTCAGCCCATATATTTCAGGACAGTAAACCGGAAACTAGAAAGTAGAAAGTAGAAAGTAATAACAAAGGATTCGATTTGAGAGGATCGTGGGAGATTGAGTTTCACGCTAATGCGCGTCAAATACCAGCAATTCCATTTGAGCAAGGGCCTGTTTTCGGACTCCAGTTGTTTTCAATTTTTTTTTATTTTTTTATTTTTTATGCAGAGTAACTGCAGCGTCTTATGCACAATAAAAAAGGCAAAATACCCAAATCCGCCCCTCAACTATAGGGGCAGGGACGGATCCACATCCGAACAAAAAACGGGGACAAATCCACCCACAAAGTTTTCGACTTAGACAAATAACTCATTATTTGACGTGCTACGTCATGTGACATCATCA